GACCTTTTGCTATAGAGCTGGTGTCCTATGGCTTTTCTGGTTCCCCTCTTCTCCAGGGAGATTTCCTGGTGACTAGTTTTGCTGCGTGTGGATTTTCAGGGATTGCTAGCAGTGGAATACACAAACAGGAAACTTAATGCCGTGACTGAAACCCAACCAGTAATCCCACCTCGACTCAAATGCCAGGAATCCTTCAAGAATGCTTAAAAGTGGCAGAAAATCATAGCATGTCAATAGGCGACGTCCAATTAAAGTGACTTTATTCAACAGAGGTTTGGGATTGTTTGGCATTATTATACTTGCTGATGTATCTGATCTTGGCAACTTAGAGGGAAGTCAAATTAGTGTTTTTATTATACAGACCTATAGGCGGGAAGTTAATTGTTTGTCATTTTGTTCTCTCGGTAAATTATTTAAGAACAAAAAGTTGGCTAATGAGAGATCATTCCACTCATGTTTGGTTGCTAGTAGCAGGTGACTTGAAGATCTCACCCCCTCCTCCCTAGCAGGAGCCAGGGTGTTGGCTTCAGCTGGGTAAATATTTAAGACCCATAGCTGTGTTTTTCCCTGCTTTGACATTTTTATGTAACATAATTCAAGACATAGATGAACGAGATTTTTACAGAAGTGTATAGCAAGCATTAAAGAGAAAATTATGACTAAAAACGCATTTTTGTAGCCGTGAGCAGACAAGGCAGTGAAGATCTCTGAAAACAGCAGACACATTTTGACAAAAGGGTTGTGGGAGTTTGGAACACGTTGCCCAGCCATATTGTGGAAACTGGATACCACAGCTTCTTTCTAGAAGAGGGAATGAGACCCTCCAGTCACCCTGGCTACTAGGAAACTGTGAGGTGGGATGAATGACGGTCTCCTCTCATTAGTCAACATTCTTGTGTTCTTAATTACTTTAAATGGTGGTTTCTTGTAGTGGTCAGAAATAAATGTTTTGTTGTGTTTCGCCTTTTCTGTTAAAATGACGTGTTTTTTCTTTTCTTTGGTCTCCACGCGTTACAGACGAATTGGGTTTTCACGAAAAGTAAAGTGATCATTGCCCGTTCGTTCTTTCCACAT